TTGGCGATCCACCCTGTATAGGAGAGATGTTGCCAAAATTTTTCTTCTTCTCCGGTGTTCAGTGAGTGATAAATTTAATATTTAGTCTTATGAGAATTTGAATGAGATGTGATATGGGAGTTTATTCTCCATACACTTAATGTTTAGTATTATGATTTTTGGTCATTTCGATTCAAGATCTGATAAGTTTTCGCTTGTTCATGCGGGGATCATTGTTTGTTATATTTTGATAATAGATTATAGGAGAGATGTTGCCAAAATTTTCCTTCTTCTCCGGTGTTCAGTGAGGGATAAATTTAATATTTAGTCTTATGAGAATTTGAGTGAGATGTGATATGGGAGTTTGTTCTCCATACACTTAATGTTTAGTATTATGATTTTTTGTTATTTCGATTCAAGATCTGATAAGTTTTCGCTTGTTCATGCGGGGATCATTGTTTGTTATATTTTGATAATAGATCACCTGGTTGGTTGATTGTAGACTTGTCGGCTCACGACACAACTTTGCTTACACCTGTACCTCAACTTGATGTCTTTGCCTTGAGATTTAATATGTTTCTTTGAGAGTTTTAACCGAACTTCTTCTAATGACCATTATAAAGAGTTGATGGGTTTTTATGAAAGGTTGGACAATGGTCGAGGCCTACGTAGCACCGTGTTCACGTTCGGAGGTGAACGCAAACATGTTCACCCGAACGCGGACAAGCGCCCCAAACCCTTCGAACACGAACATAAAAAATATTTCAAAAAAAATATATATTCTAAGAAAAATCTGAAAAACATATATATGTTATGTAAAACCACAATACAAGCAACGTTTGCCTTGCAATCATGTTCAAATTCGTCGCCAATCATGAGTTAAAAATCAAAAATCGATTTTTTTTTTTTTTTTTTTTAACAGGTAAAAAATTATGTTCGCCCGAACATGTTTGCGAGCTGTTCGCGTGAACGTGCGAACACGTTCGCGCGAACGTGAAGGGCCGCGAACACGTTCGCCGTGCTACGCATGCCGAGGCTTCAGTGTGTGAGGCGTGGTGTGAGTTATAAGGAACAATAAAGTGAACAACATTGGTGTATGACAATGTGACGTTCATATGTGTCTGTGTTTTATGCAGGTTACTGTTTTGGAGCTTGTGTACGAGACTTACTTTGGAGGCAGTGAGAATGACAACCATATGTAGCACGATCTACACACCTAATGTTTTTTTTTTTTTTTTTTTTTTTTTTTTTTTTTATTTTNTTTTTTTTTTTTTTTTTTTTTTTTTTTTTTTTTTTAATCTCGAGTGCTGATTAGTACGTGGGTGCTAGGATGCCTGTTTATTTCCTGATTGATTTTGCTCTTTGGAATTATTATATTTGGACGTAAAAGTCCGTGACAGTCATCAAAGTTAAACCCCTTCACCTGGTAGCGGGCTCCATGACCATAAGCGTTGACCACCACAGTGGGTCGGAGCCCGTCCGCCTCCCACTCTCCACTGAGTGTAAAAGAGGGTGTGGTTCTCAACCCCCTTAGCAGTTGTCTAGCGTTGAGAGATTAATCCCTCAAGCGCGTGTCATCCGACATTTGAGTGTTGAACGCAAACCTCGAGACCATTCAGGCTCACGCGATTAAGAGTACTAGGCAATACGTCATTGCTGCGATTGCTTGTGTATTCCTGCATGGTTAGTCGATTATGAGAAGTCTACGTCCACGCGTTATTTTATTATGAGTCTCGCGCGTGACACCTAAGTGATTCAGTGTTGGGAAAGTTATGGGTTAGATAAAAGGAACTATGAGTGTTTTGTGTGAGTAACTTGATTCTATATTTTGGCTTGGTGTAAAGCGTGGTAAGATGGATATGTCCTAGTCGACCAATGACAATCCCCGCTTGGGATTTCAGCCCCCCCAGTGCGTCGGCTCGCTTACGGGTCCGATAGAGGTGTGCAACCGCTGTCACACTTTTCCTAGTTGGGCCACTTCAGGCGATAAGAAAACCAACAGGTTGTCACATAAGTCATTTGCAATAAATAATTAAATAAATTAAATAGAGCATGTCTCTTCCTGTTATGTGCGTCTGGCTTCAAGCGAGACCCTTAAATTGCGGTCTTCGACGACCCCCGGTCTTAGGAATCTTTTATTTTGATTCGGAATAACAAAAATAATGTAAATAATAATTATGAAGTGTTGGTGTGCCATGCCTGTATCAATTTTGCCAACTTGCTAAATTTGAGAACTGTGACAAGATCATCAGGAAAACATAATCATCAAGCAAGTCAATGCAAAGAATGAAGACTAACTGACTCAAAGCAAAGATAAAAATGAGTGAGGGAAAAGTGAGAACTCATACTAATCTCAGGGAGTACAAATGATCAGATATGGCCAACACTCGTCAGGAGTCTTCACTCATCACTCCTAGATCTCATCCTTAGTCTCTCATTTGGTCGTATGTCTCCCGTGTCCTGAACCACGTCTATGTACCTCCTGAGGTTGTGGCCTAGTTATGTAGAGTCACCTGAATCCGGCAAGTTCCTAACACTTCCACTCGAGACTTATGATGCGGAAGTCAACCATAGTACAAAATTTCTCCCACAACGTAGGAAGATATGGTTGATAGAAGATCTCTCGCCTTAGATGCCTAAACTTAAATGGTTCGGTCACAACCTCGTAGTCGATCTCAGCAGGGGAGATATACCTCCTTGCTAAGTCAACTAAATCACCCCAGCAGGAACCGTCTGTAAAAAGGAAAGGAATTGGAGGCTTGGGATAGTCAACATAGAGCTTGGGTCCAAAGCTTCTGATCAGCCTTGTACCACTCTCATCAAGTTCCCATTCTCTTTCCTCAAGATACTTTGCTGCTAAGATACAGACAGAATGGAAGTGCCTATGAGTTTCTTTGCCTCTTTTCACGTAAAGTCTCAGATCATGAATGGTTCCTCTTGCGAACGCAGTGTGAACCACAAAGATTGACAAGTCTTCCTACAGAGAGGAACCCATATTGTGCAGCTTCCCGTTTTGAGCACGAAAGTATAACACATACTCAATGTATTTTTCTCCTTCAATTCCCTAGATTACATTCTCTCTCAAGACCGGTTTCTAAAGCTCCACACTCAAGATAGCCTCAACTTCCCAGTTCTCACGCTTATCATTATTAACCCCACATTTCATCATAAATATTTTTTCTTCTCTCATGGTCTCTGTCCCGACTGTATACTGCACGGCGCCGTTGCTTAAGGCCACTTGTTCTCGGCCTTGCTTAGGTCAATTCGGTAGATTGAAGCACAAAGGAAATGAAAGCTTCGAGACGATTCTTGGGGAGCAACCTTGCTGAAACTGGCCAGGACAGTCTCATGTCAATGACTATTACTGGTGGTTTTGCTAATCTCTTTTCTTTCTCATCTGATTCCCTAATTTATGCAATATAGTCTGCCTCAACGTCTTCTCACTTGTCCGATTTCTCTTGCGGAGGGTTGCATATCATCCACCCACAACTGAGTTCTGAATTATCCCTAAAAGGTGATCTTCGGGGAGAGTTCATTACTGGTTATTGATGATCCTTCTCGCCTGATCAGTAATCTCAATGGATGAGAGTGTGTTGTGAAGTCTCTCGTCTGCTCCGTGGAAGAAAATGATATACTCAATAAACCTTTGTTCCTTCGCTGGCTCTAGTGCCTATTGTTTCATCGATTTTACGGGGTATTGGATGTCTTTGATAACACCTCCTTCCCAACCTTCCACTTTGTCACGGTGAAGCGCACAGGTCATCAAGAGAGTTTCTCCGTCGACCATCTTATTCCTCCCCCTTTATTGATTTGCGATTGCCTTAAATCAATATTTTTTTTTAACAATAAGTGGAACTTCTTTGAATTTGGAGTCGGAAAACTGAAAATGGGAAACGGCAGTTGGCAGAATGACTAAGGGTTTGCCCAATCGTTAAACACTTGTGGTTGGCAGACTGGCTCCGGGCTTGCCCAATCATTAAACACTAGTGGTTGGCAGATTGGCTCGGGGTTTACCCAATCATTAAACATTTGCGGTTGGTCTTGGGTTATAGTCAGATAATAACTGGAAAATTTACCAGAGGCAACTCCCGACGGGATCCCCAACTAAGTTTGAGTGTGGTGGTTCAAATCAGGTAATCCATCGTCAAGTCATTACTAAGGTTGCAAGACTTTTCACGGCCTGTCTCCTGTTAACTTTTCCTGATGAATCCAGAGTTGAGCGAAGCTCATTCGCCTATGGCACAAGGATCACCAAACTCTATTTTCTCATTCGTGTATAAAGAAGAGCACTAATTAGGCTTCCTCTTTCTATGTATTGATCAAGACGCGGCAGAAGGCAATCCCTGATCAACTGGCGTGCATGTTGTCTTCTGCTATGTTGCACGCTGGCCGCGGCCGGTCCGGCCAAGTTTTTTCGGCCGCGGCCTCGGCCGATCTGATGGGCGGTTTTCAAAGCGGAGGGCGGGTTTGGGGTGGGGGGGTGGGGGGGGGGCGTAGGGGGGCACCCCCTCAAAGTGACAGGGCATTAAAAAAATGAAAAACGAGGGGGTCCTGCACATGGCCATGGAAGGGTGGGCCGCAAAAATTTGTGCGTCCCCCACGTGCGGGTTCTTCGATGCTGGGTGGCAGGGGAGAGGGTCTGGAACAGTAGAAAAAAAAATTAAAAAAAATTGACCCCTGCGAGGGCGGTCCAATGTGGGTTGGATGAGGGCCTGCTTGGGGCGGCCCGTGCGGCCAGGTCGGGTCGAAGCTGGACGGGGCTGCAGATGGCAAACCCCAGCCGGCTCAGGGCCTCAGGCACTGAAAGGCAAGCGTCGGTTTCATTCGTGAGGGTGATGACAGTTCGTGACATATTTTGAAACAACACATTCATGGGAATCATAAGTCAGACCCTTGTTGGCATACTAAAGTCAAAACACATTCAAAATCAATCACAGTGCAGCGAACCATAAGTTTCAAACAATGTTAACAAGCAAGTGTGTCATAGTGTGTGTTCACTCATCAGACTGGTGGTGGACATTTTTGTAAGAACACATTTATTAGCACATCATCCCTATGTCGCATCTGAAATTAACAGCACATTCATAATGGAGGCATCCATGACATGCAGGTGCGTGGCATCGGAGAAACAAATAATTTGCAACAATCACGACAACAAACAACAAACCAGTCACCAAACAATAGCGACTCAGATGCAAGACCAATGTTGGTAGAGAAACACGAACAAGAGCAATTATATGACAAAGCATTTCAATGGAAATGCGTATGTACAAGGCTGAAGCCAAAAACAGGACCCGTCGTCTCTACTGTACAACCGAGTAGCAAAAAAAAACTGGACCTTATGTACAAGGCTGAAGCAAAAAAGTGGACCTATCGTCTTTACTGTACAACCGAGCAGCAAAAAAAAATAAAAAAATAAAAAAACCCTAATGTCCACATACTGTCGTCGTCTCCATGGAACAACATCGACATAAATATGCAACAACCCTGCCGACAGAGCGTCCAGGCTGTACAGCCACGCAAAAAAAAAAAAAAAAACTAATGAAAAAAAAAAAAAACCCCACAGACGTCGTCATCTCCCTCCAGAGCGCGCGCGGCCTCTCCCGGAGGACCGGCGGCCATTCAGTCCTCCCCGACGCCCTCCTCTCCCTCCGGCACCTGTGCCTCGTGCCCCGCTGAGGTATGCTGACTGTGCTGCAGCGGCTGCCGCGGCCACCTGTGCCCTATGTTTGCGGGCCGCAGTCTCGATCGGCTCGGACTCTGTGTCTGTGTCCTCGTGCTTCGCCGCCCCTGCAGCAATCCCCATCTCTCTCTCCCTCTGAATCACGTCCAATGCTGCCTGGCCAGCGGCGACCCCTGCCGCGAGTCGAGCCTCAACCTCCGAGAAGCCATGCTGTCGTCTCGTCCCGGGACGCATGAACAACCCCTCCTCGCCAGATATGAACTGCTCTTCCCGCAGCATGTCCGTGGATGTCCCTGTGGCCTCGAGGACCAATGATCTCCTCGTCTCCGCTCGTGACAAACCGAGCATGCGGCCTGCCATCTGCAGGCTCAGACGTTCGGACCCACCCTCCGCAGCCTGCGTCTTAACTGGCGTACGTCCCGTGAAGACGCCCTTCCCTGCATCGTAATCCGCCCGCAACTGGTCCCCGACCCGACGAACAGCTGACCATCCGCAACCCACACCACCTCGGACTGTCGGCGGGGATCCGCCACTGTGCGCAACTCCGGGTGCCGCCGTCCGGACCCCGGTGTCGACCATACCCTCCAGAGTCCGTGCGGGCGGTGGAGGCATCGATCCTGCACTATCTCTGTCGTCGTCGCTGCGTCTGCCGGACCCCACCTCACCCGCTTCGGACTCCCTCCCTCTCACGCCGTTGAGCGACGAACCCGACCAGTGAGGGCTCTCCACCACGAACAGCGGCGGTGAAAATACCCTCCCAAGGGCCCCCCTCTTGCCGCTCTTGCGACTCAGGTGTGCGAAACGGTCATCCGTCAACGCTTGCGCTAAAGCGTCGACGTCGAAGAAAGTGTGCGCTATGTCGTCAAGGCGCAAGGGAGGTACTGAGGGGTCCCTCAACACCAAGGCGAGCCTTTACGCATCGTCCTCGGGACGGTGGTTGTCGTCATCATCTCCGTCCGGTCCATCGTCGCCACCGACACCGGCGGTATCCTGTCCCTCATCATCGAACTCCCCCTGAACTGCCTCCTCAGGGACACCCGAGTCGTCGACATCACGGCCTCCCCCCCCTTCTGTCTCCAACTCCCTCCGCCGACGCTGCTCGTCAAGATACGCGAACCGACCCTCCCATTGTGGCAAACTCCCCAGCCGCTCCTCCTCCTCTCGGTCCAAACGGGCATCCCTCTCCTCCTCAGTCTCAGCAGGGCCCCGCACAATGTCCTCGTCGGTGCGCACCTCCGACGGTGAGGCACGCCAACGTCCCTCGACACTGAAATCTCCCAAGCTCCCACCAAGCCCTCCGACGTCAAACTCGTGTGTGCGGAGCACCGACGGTGAGTGGGGGCGGATACCAGCGTCGGAAGGAGTCCTCTCCCCCCCACGATCCTCGCCGTCATGTGTCCGGTCTCTGCCTGCTGCCGACGCCAACCTCTTCGAATGCCTAAGTGCCTCGGGCTGTACAACGCTCCGATGATGGGAGGGAGAGAAGCGACGATCGTGAAGGGGTACCCGCTCATCCTCGGCCTCCTCTTCGGCCTCGCTGTCGCTCCTAACCTCCCATCGCCTGCCTGTCTGCCGAAGACCTCCCCGTGGCTGCTGCTCCCCCGAGTCGTCAAGGCCAACCTCCGCATGCGAACGTCCTCCACGACCACCACCGGCTCTGCTGCTGCCACTCGCCTGTGCGGTCGACGGCGCACCACCATTGATAACTGATGTGAATGAATCCATGCCGTCACGACCCCCACCGTAAGTGAAGTACAACCGCTCAGCCGTCGGGTCGCTACTCACCGGCGTGTCATCATCGTCTGTCCACTCGTCGATGTCGTCCTCTGCCACAACAACGTCCACATCATCCCCACCCTGTGGCCACGGTCGCAGCTCCGTCGCCCTGCTGCCGAACACGTCCCGAACCGAATGGGCTCTGGACGGTCGATTATGCTGGAAAGCGACAATCTGCCGCTCTATCTCCACCTCTGGAACACTACCGGCAGGTCGTGGTCCCCACACCTCGGGCTCCACATCTCCGTCCTCATCCTCGTCCTCTGCCTCCGTCCCCCCCCCACCGGTCCCCATAACCCATGGCAACACGTAGCCACCACCCTGCCGTGCACACGAGGCCGGTTTGAGATTGGTGGCAATCTCAACCAGCTGTGCAAGCTTGGCAAACCCAAGCTTGGCATGCCTCGCCGTGTTGATGCGCTCATGCTGCGCCCAGTTCCTCTCCGCTGGAGAGGCAGACGTCCACAAGTGCATGACACGGATGGCGATGGTGCGCAACTCCGGGTGGGCACGTCCATGCTCAAACCACCACGCTGCACATCGCTCGGTCTCGCTATCCCCCCTGCAATCCTCCGCCTCGGCATCGGAGAGGTCACCTCCCCAATCCCCTCGCCTCGAGTGGAACACCCTCATCTAGTCCCTCACGGTCCTGTACAATCTGCCGACCGGATCGTCGCCGGTCTGCGCCAGGAGAAATCTGTCGCACTCCTCGACGACACGACGGTCGTCGGCGGTCGTCTCCAACGAATGGTAATACGTGAGGGACCGTCGACGAGGGTTGACGAGGTGGGCCGCGGCATGTGCGGGCTCTAGCATGTGGAGGTTGCGGATGGCAACCTCATGCACGCACGACTCGATCATGTCCTCCGGCACGTCCAACCTCCTCATCAACTGCAGCACATGCTGACTCCACTCGTAAACGACCGACATCATCATCCCCCCCCTATCCCATCCTGCGCAACAGCTGGTGGACGGGCGACATGACAAGGATGGCGTACTAGACACACCGCCAAAACTCCCCGTCCCGGATTTGCTGCTGCACCCACTGCGCCTGAGATACATGTCTGCGCTCCTACGGGATGCGTGCCCAAGCATCCCCGTGCAACATGCTCTCCAACGCGTCTCGTCGGCCTTTCAGACACGATGCGAACCGTGTCTCAACAGGCTCCACGAGCTGAACGAGAGGGCTCACCTTCCTAAACAGGGCGTGACCAGCGCCGTGCGATTTAATAAATCTCACAAGCGCCCGAGCGCGGATGATGGTGTCCTTGACCCACCCCACTCACGTTCCGATATCTGACAACATCAAGTTGCAGATATGGGTGGAGCAGGGGAGCCAAGTGATCCTCCTAATGTCTGGCTCGTGGTCAGTGGCGAATTTGCGCGCTGCCGCCGTATAGTTACTGGCGGAATCAGTGCAGAAGCCGATCACGTCCTTTGTAGGAAAGGACAAGATGATGGCCCGCCACCTACGGTACACGATGTCCCCGGTGTCTCGGACCGACCCGTCGCGCAGTGGATCTACGTGAAGGGGTTGCCATTCAACGCCTTCCGTGGTCCGGAGTTCCAGAAGGTGCGGAAGACAGCGGAGAGAGTGTCACGCAGTATCCACTTCCGGTTTCCCTCCTTCAGGGTCACAGCGGGCGCCGGTATCCCTTCGCAGAGGGCGAAGGTGGCGACGATGGTGAGCGAGGTGCACGCCGCTTTCCGGCACAGCGGTGCCACCATGCTCTCCAACAGGAGGAAGTCGCGCAGCGGCAAGCCGCTCGTGAACTTCCTCGCCGGGGACGCCAATGGCGCCCTGCTGTACGCCACCGTCCTGCCCGTGTCTCGCACCTCGACGCCAGCCTCCCCCACTACCCTCTTCTCCCTCCTCGCGCGATCCAACTCAGGTCGCGGTGCCCTAGGAGCGGGACCCGCTCAACCGAAGCCTCTCGACGTCATCACCACCTCCTCCCCTGGCAGGTTAGGCTCTCCGACTCCCTCGTTTGCCTCGTCTGCCACCCCCCCCTCCCTGGCCCCACCCTCCCGGCCCTCCTCCTCATCGAGGGCATCCTGAACGTCGTCCCTCTCTGCGTCGTCCATGCGCTGTCGCTGGCCACTCGCGGGCGCTCTCGTGTCCCGTATGCCCTCGTCTGCCATCCACCTCTGCACCCGCTGTGCAGTGGACTCCAACAAGTCGCGGCGTTGATCGTCGATGTTGTCTGACCTTGCTGCATCGTCGATGTCGTCCCCGACGTCCCCATTGGCGACGTTGCCGCGTCCCCCCGGGGTCGTGCACGCCTGTGGCCCTCGCGCTCCCCGGCTGGTTGGCCGCAAGCACAGCCGTAAGCCGTGCTGGCCGTGTCCGGCCCTGCTCGGTTGAGTTCGGCCGAGATCGGCCTCGTCCGACCGCGATTGGCCGAGATCGGCCTCGTCCGGCCACGGCCGACACTAAAATGGCTGCGCGCTTAAAAAGGCCGCGCACGGCGATGGCGAAGGTCGTCGGGCGGCCGCTGGACCACGCCGGGGCGCTGTCCCATGTGGTCGCGCGGCGCGCGCTCTGCCACGTGCGCAACGAGAAGAAGAAGAAGAAGAAGAAGATCTCTCTCTCTCTCTCTCTCTCTATCTCTCTATCTATCTATCGATCTATCTATCTATCTATCTATCTATCTATCTATGTCAACAATCTCTCTCTCTCTATCTATCTTTCTCTGTCTCTCTCTCAATGATCTCTCTCTCTCTCTCTCTCTCTCTCTCTCTCTCTCTCTCTCTCTCTCTCTCTCTCTCTCTCTCCCTAGCGGTATCTCCAACGCAACAGGTACGTAGTAAACCAGTCTTCTCTCTCTCTCGCTCGCTCACTAGCGGTATCTCCAGCGCAACAGTTACGTAGTAAACCAATCTTCTCTCTCTCTCTCTCTCTCTCTCTCTCTCTCAGCGTGCGAGCAGGCACTTCGGCAGCCTAACGGCAACAACAACAACTGTTGCCGTTTTAGATAAATGGCAGCATTTATCTGAAACGGCAACAGTTTTGCCGTGGCCTGGGCCTGGCTGGACCCACCGCCCTCCTCACACTGCCCACTGCCCACACGTTGCCCCTCACCCACTAGCTCCGAAACAGGGCCAAAACA